TTTTTTTTTTTAATTGCATTTTAGGTTTTGGGGTACATGTGAAGAACATGCAAGATTGTTGCATAGGTACACATGTGGCAGTGTGATTTGCTGCCCTCACTGTACTTTAAAAAGTTTGCAGCATGTTGGGACTCTTCTCTTATGTTTTGCCATAAAATTCATAAGCCAGGGTTCATTGTGCTGAGTGCAATGGAAAAATGAAGTCCTTTCGCAAAACATGACTCACACCTATAATTTAGGCAACACTCAGGAAGCTTTTCCCTTGTATCTGGCTTATGCTTCCATTCCCATAGCTTACATTTATTAAGCACCTACTCTGTGTCAGAAATTGTGCTGAGCATTTCATGTGTACTGTGCCATTTAATGCACGTCATAGGCCTATGTGGTAGCTACTAACTTATTCTCATTAGAAAAAAAAAACATAAAAGGGTTAATCAGGCACATAGCAGGTAAGTGGCTTATGTCAACTCTTTCTTTCCTGTGTCAGTTGTACTGCTGTAACTCAAATAGATGATTGTATTACCTTTTACAATCCCAAGTTAAAGAATTTCTAGAATCAGGTTTGACTTCTCCCAGTGACTTACACACTTTAATATTCTCTTCTCTCAGGAGGGGGAGGTTCCAATTTTCATATTATATTTCATATGTTTCAGATCTATTATTGTTTTTCCCTCAGCTTTCTCTTCTGCATGATTTAAACAAATAGCAAGCAAACTCTTGTTAATATTCCTTCCAAGATGGTACTTTCTAATGTCTCAGTTACTTAAGTTTCTTTCAACTCAAACTTTGATTGCTCTATATTCTACTAAGGAGTGAATGATACAAAGCATATACTCATTTGTGATTATGAACAAACAGCAAAAAAATCAATGGCAAACAAAAATGGAAAATTGCTTCATGTTTTGAATGAGGCAGACTTTTATTTTTAATGATGATTAAAACATAAATGGTAATTAAAACATAGAGGAGAATATTATGAGGACAAGCCTGTTTTTAGAGAGGAGCTTGGTTTCTTCTTGTTCTAACACTTGTATAGTTTCCACAAAATATATTTCAACCTATTAAGCATTAATTGAATGAGACAGGTATTTATTGAACATCCACTTTGTGAAGAATATAGACTCTGTATTTAAAAATGGACACTGCCCTGAAGAGGGCATGAGAGAAGACAAACATAATATATAATTACATCCAAGGCAGTTCATATTAAATGCTCTTCTACCCTTTCTTACAGTTCTTTAGCAAGACCTGACAATTTGTTCACTAAAACTTGTCTTGAATCTGTCTTCCTCTTTAGAGAAGTTTGATTTTGAATTTCAGAAATAGCCTAATTTGTGTTTTAAAGATTGGAATAAGTTTTTCCTCCATTTATTGCCTGATTATTGTGATCAATTCTTAAATCTGAATTGAAATCCTGAGAGATGCTTGCATGCTACCCACTTTAAGATGCATCTTTATGATCCTCTTATGCCACAGAGTCATCAGAAATTGGGCCTTCCCTCGTGATTCACACCACTGTCCCATTTGGAGTTACATACTTGGAACACAGCATTGAGGATGTGCAGGAGTTAATCTTCCAGCAGCTGGAAAACATTTTGCCAGGTTTGCCTCAGCCAATTGCTACCAAATGCCAGAAATGGAGACATTCACAGGTAATCAAAGAATCCAGTGGTCTAAGCACAACAATTTTCTTAATAGGCTAACAGAACTGATATTACTTCTTTATCCTTTGCATTCTGTAGTAAAAGAAATTAACTATGTGATCTTTGGAGCAAATATGTGTTTGCTCAATACATAAATATAACTTCTACAGGTTTTATTGTCCTATTTTTCAACAAGAAGTATATACAATTTTCACCAATGTTATTTTCAAATTCTAGCATCTCAAGACTTACAAACCTTGATATTCTGGGGACTTCACTTCAGAGAAGGCAGGTTATATATCCAAATGCAGCTGTTTCTTTGGGGTTTTTCTAGATCCGTACTGTGAATATTTAGAAACCACTGTAACCTCCCAAAATTTTGCAATATGTCAAATCAACCTTGTAAGTATATTTTGCTACCACAATTTTCATTTTTATTAAGTTTCCACTTTGGTTTTGACTGCTGCCAGCTGAGCTCTCTGGGGAGAGAGGTAAGTACCTGCATAGGACAGCTAGTTGAGCTGTTTTTCATGGTTAGATAAACTTTATGATCACTCTGCTAGTTCAAACTTAAAGCTCTTTATACTAAGTAAATATTGAGTTTTTTGAAAATTTCTGCATATTTCAATGGAAGGGAGTATTCACAGAAAAAGTATTTTGATCCATAAACTCAATAGTGAAGTCATTTAGCAGACAATGGGGCAAAGGGCAGATAGAGTAGAAAAAGCAGTGAATTGTCCATTTATTTCCTGGGATTTCTGCGCCTGTTGATGAACTGATTTATCAGCCCTATTGGTTATCCAAACTATGAAGCCTATAGAAAAAGTGGTGTTGTGGGAAGTTGCAGTTGGTTTTATAGATTTTAAAGGACTTTCTAAAATCAGAGTAAATAGTAAATTACTTCCTAAAATATTACAGCAGGTCTATGTTTTACTCATATCTTCTCTAGTTAAATTATACAGTGAACCTTTGGGGAAAATATTTAAACATGTCATGGTCACCTTAGAAAACTTTACTTTTTCCTTTTAAAAGCACTGAAAAACCTGAATAGCTATTATCTTTAAGTGATATTGAACTCAATTTTAAGTTGGCTTGAAAAAGAAAACGTCTACATTGGCTGCAAAACCTGAAAGGGAATAAGTTATCATCCAGACTTAGATGTTTGCATATTCCACTATTCATATACTTCTCATAGTATCTTGAGGATCATTTTACAGAACATAACATTGTCATTTATGGTGAAAATATTACCTAAATTGTGTTTCATTCATATATGTATGAACATCACCTTAAAAAAAAGAATAATTAATGAAAAGTCTAGCTATTTAATATCCTCATTTGAGGCTTTCACGGAGCTGGTGTTCCCTGCTTCAAGCAATGTTGGTTGGTGTGAATGCCCCATTCTAGACCCCTCAGGCTTGATTTCTCTATTCATTTTATATTCCCCCTTTTTCTCTTCTTTAGTGACCCTTAACATTGCATCTTGCCACTTAGGGGATGTGGAAGGTAGAGAGGAAGAAGAAAAAGGAACAGGTAGAGCAATAAGGAGCAGCTATAGTGTGCCAGGCCTGAAACTGGGCAATTCAAAGATGGGATCTTATTTAATATCAAAAGTCGGCTTACAAACGACAATGAGATACCACTACACACCTAGAATGGCCAAAATCCAGCACACTGACACCACCAAAGATATGGAGGAATAGGAGCTCTCATTCATTGCTGGTGGGAATATAAAATGGCACAGTCACTTTGGAAGACAATTTGGCAGTTTCTTATAAAACCAGACATTATCTCACTATACAATTTAGCAATCACCTCCTTGGTATTTACCCAAGAGACTTGAAAATTTATGTCTGCAAAAAAAGCTTGCACATGGATGTTTATAGCAGCTTTGTTCATAATTGCCACAGCTTGGAAGTAACCAAAATGTCCCTCAGTAGGTGAATGGATAAATAAATGGTGGTATATCCAGAAAATTGAACATTATTCAGCACTGAAAAGGAATACCATTAACTAACATGGAGGAAATTTAAATGCATATTATTAGGTGAAAGATGCCAATCTGAAAAAGCTACATATTGTATGATTTCAACTATATATGGCGTTCTAGAAAAGGCAAAACAATGGAGACAGTAAAAAGATCAGTGGTTACTAGGGGTTGAGGGTGAGGGAGGAATTACTAGACAGAGCAGAGGGAATTTCTAGGGCAGCAAAAATTTATTTCTGATACTATGGTGGTAGATAAATGTCATTACTCATTTGTCTAAACTCATAGAATGTTCAATACTAAGAGTGAACACTAATGTAAACTAGAAACTTGGAGTGATAAAGATGTATCAGTGTTGATTCATCGGTTGTAACAAATGTGCCAAACTGGTAGGGAATGTTGATAATAGGGGAGGCTGTGCATGTGTGGGAGGGTAGGGGGTGTATTAGAAATCTCTATACCTTCCTCTCAGTTTTGCTGTGAACCTAAAACTGTTCTGAAAAAAAATAGTCAATTTAAAAAAAGAAAAAATTCAAATTAAAAATGTATCTAGTGGTAAAGATAAACCCTAAATAGATTATTTTAAAAATATATATATTTTAAGCAGTCTTATGGGTTTGTTAGTTTTAACTCCCTATAGCGATGAGCACACGAAGCCTCAGAGAGATTAAATAACTTCCTTAAATCTCCACGGCTAATAATGACAAAACCAGTCTACCTGCCTCTCAAGTCCTTCCCTCCTCTTCACTCATCTTCTATTTCCTATTGTTGTAATGAATTCTCAAAAACTTGGTAGAAAACAACACAAATTTATTATCTTAAAGTTCTGTAGGTCAGAGTCCAAAGTGGATCTCACTGGGATAAGATCCAGGTGTGGTCAGGGCTGCATTCCTTTCTAGAGGCCCTAGGAGACAGAATCCATTTTCTTGCCTTTGTCACCTTCTAGAAGCTGCCTGCATTCCTCTGCTTGACATTCTTTCCATCTTCAAAGCCAGCAACAGCAGGTCAAATCCTTCTTCCACTCTGACCTTTTCTTCTACCTCACTCTTGTGATGACATTGGGCCCACCTGGGTGATACAGGATACTCTCCCCATCTCAGTTCAGCTGATTCGTAATTTTAATCCATCGGCAACCTAAAATCTTCCTTTCCATGTAACATAACATGTGTAGGTTCCAGGAATTAAGGTGTGGATATCTGTGATAGGGGCATTATTTCTGCCTGCCACACCCTCCTTTCTCCAAATCCCTTGATGGATCCCTTTATGAGGCATTGTCTCCCTCTTCCTCATAAAACTTCTGGAGAAAGCATCAGCCATGTAAGGTTCAAGCCACCCTATAGGAGCAGCTGCTATCTGCAAAAGATAAGAGGAGCACTTTGTGTGGGGACAGTTTCTGGTTTCCCTGGTGTTGCTCTCCCAAGCCTAGTGCTTTTCCTGATGTCGCATATCCATATCCACAATTGCAACAGTGGGGTGAAAAGTGTTTTTTCATGTATTCATTTGGTTATTCATTTATTCAATAAGTGTTTAATGAATGCCTACAATAAGCCTAGCACTCTGCTCAGGAAACTCTAGAGATTAGCATTTGCTGAGAGCCGTCTCCTATGACTCTAAACTGAAGTTGTCTTGGGTAAAATAATGGTGCCTTCTTGTGGGTGCCACTCTTAAACCATGAAAGAGGCAGGTGAAGAAAGAAGGCGTTTTTGAAAGACTTGGGAGCTGCTTCTGTGCATCCCATTTTGAATTTGAATAAAGCACTTCAGTGGGTGGTTCAAACAAACAGAAAAACATTGGCAGATTTTTTGTTGTTCTCAGTTCCTCCCTTTTACAGCTATTTGCCTTCCATAATTTAAATGTTTAGCCAGTTAATATAACTTGATGCTTAAGTCTGTTATGCACCGAATTAAGGTTTCTGTAACAAGTATGATATATTAACTCTTTCACTAGAAGAATTACCGAAAATGTCTTTCCACTTACCTTGACAGGGGACATTTAATCAGTTTGATAACCCTAATATTCTGACCATTATTTTATGCTGTGCTTTCCTTTGTTTCAGTGTCTATCATGATGCCCTTCTCAAACCATAGCAAACTTCTGATTTGCATTCAGGTTTAGCTCTCATTTTCCCCATCCATCTTTCCTAAATTCCAGAAAATGCTAGTGGCCCTTTTCCTTACTTTATTTAGCACTCTCATATATTACTTTATTTATTTTTTAATCTCCAAATGTATATTCAGATACCAAGGAAAACAAGAGAGGAACTTAGGGGGAGGAAATGAATACATTGGCATTCCATATCTTGGAAAAATAAATGGATGTGGACTAGCCTATTAAGCTTCTATAGTACGACTAGAAATCAGTTATCTTCCACAGTTATATATCTTCATTTAGTATTTTGCCCTGAGTTTGTACCTTTTCTCTTCCTTTTCCTTCTTCTTCTTTTTTTTTTTTTTTTTGCAGAGGTGGGATCTAAACTCTGTCACCCAGGCTGGAGTGCGGTACATGATCAGAGCTGACTACAGCAGCCTTCCTCAAACTTCTGGGCTCAAGTGATCCTCTCGCCTCAGCCTCCTGAGTAGCTGGGATTACAGGTGCACACTACTGTTCCCGGTTAATTTTTTTAAATGTTTGTAGTCATGGGGTCTTGCTATGTTGCCAGGCTGGTTTCAAACTCCTGGCCTCAGGCGATCCTCCCACCTTGGCCTCCCAAAGTTCTAGGATTACAGGCATAAACCAGTAGGGAGAAGATTCCATAAGTGCTAAGGCAGAAGCCAGAAGCCTCAGCCTATTTCCATACAAATAATGAAGAAGAAAGTAACTAGAAATATAACCATGGTAGTTATTGGTTATTCTTAGTTATTCATAGGTGATCTTAATTCTTTTATTAATGCCTCTCGGGTCTGGAAGTGTGAACCTGGGGCGACATTGTGAAATGAATGACCCTAAGGCAAAACGCTTTAAGCCCTCTGTCACGCCCACATAAGGGCTGCTGGAGAGTGCCTTGGCTGTGAGGCATTGCCAG